ATTCTCTCTCTCAAATAAATAAATAAAATCTTTAAAAAAAAAAACATAAATAAATAAACTTTAAAAAATAATAAAAATAAAATAGACTGCATAGTACCCTCCCACTGTTGTAAAATTATTTCTATTTACACATTCATTAAGAAATTGAGTATCTGTTATGTGCTAGTTGTTATGTGCCAGTTGCTACAGCAGTGGGCAAGCCAGGCGGTCTATTCTCATAGAGTTTACATTCTAGTGGGAAGATAGAAAATAAACAAATAAAAATAAACACCTCCCCTAAGACAAAACATCAGGGAAGTAGTGATAAGTACAATGAAGAACAGTAAAGTAGGGAGGCGGATAGTGAGGGAGTACAGCAGGTGTGTTATTTTAGATAGGGTGTCCCCGAAGTCCTCTTTTAGGAGGTGATATCTGAGCTGAGATTTTCATCAATCTGGGGGAGGGAATACAGAGCCTCAGGAATCACCCTGCTGCTGGTGATGCCCACCAGTGTCCATGGCAGTGCAAACAGTTGACACCAGGCTTCTCTAGCATCCTGATTCCATCACCATCACTTTCCTGCTTATTAATCAATTGGAAGCATAATTGTATCCCCTCTTTGGGAATGGTCAGTAAATAAATGGCCCAGCTCCATTTTGGGTGGCAGCCTTCTATTTCTGCAGAAAACCAGCACCAAAAGATCTGATTGGAATACGAGGATCAGGGCCCATTCATTCTGCTTAAGCCACCAGTGATACACCAGCCTCTGCTTGCTCCTTCCTGGTCACACTCCAGGCCAGACCCATGGGACAGACATGTGATGTGACGATGCAGCATTAACAGCAGAGAGAGCACGCAAAAAGAGCCTGATCGACTACTAAGTCCCAAACTGGAACCCTCTCTTCCCACAACCGATCTGTATTTCTGTTACACTGAATTCTTTTGGTCAAAAATAATAAATCCGCTCTTATTTAAATGACATTCTTTGTTCCCCAGGGTCTTTGACCCACGCTTGACTTTAAAAACCCAAGTTTCAGAATTGTTGCACTCCAGAGGCTTCCAATCCCACCTGCATCCAGCCCTGGCCTCGTCTCTGGGGTTCAGAGTCCTTTATCCAACTGTCGATTACCAGATGATCCGTAAGCATTCGAATGAGCTGTCTTCCCCCTTGTGTGTTCTGTTTCAGCTGCTGACACCATTACCCACTACACCAGAAATTTAAGACTCCTTCCTCTCCTACCTAAATCATGCATTCACTTAGCCCTGCTCATTTCTTTTCCTTCCTAAATCTCTCTCCAGTTCAGGTCTTTCACTGCAGTCCCTGCTGCAGAGGAGGCCCTTCTGGTCATCTTCATGCCTCCACTCTTGTCTGCTAGAAATCCACTGTTCACTGTATTGCTAGAGTGGGAGCTTATCACTGAAAGTCAAACCCTTCAGTAGTCCCTACATGTGCAGAATAAAGTCCAGGTTTGTTAACAGGCGTCGCCAGCTCCCTGGCTACCTTTCCCGCTTCGTCACTCCATTCCCCACAGCATGATCCATTCTCTTGAAATAGTGAGTTGTTTGTAGTTCATGCTATACTGTCCTTTCTGCCTGGAATATCCTTTGCTTCTGCTCTGACCTACTGACCCTGCAAGACTAGGCTAGTTGTCATCCTCCATGGAGTTTTCTGGAACTCCCCCATGTTGTGCTAACTGCCCATCATTTGAGCACTCTGAATATACCATCCAGATTTAAAACACAGTATTTATTGCTTTGTGTCATGGTCTCCCTCACTAGACTGTGTACTTCTTTTTTTTTAAGATTTATTTGAGAGAGAGAGAGCACACAGAGGGAGGGGCAGAGGGAGAAGCAGACTCCCTGCTGAGGAGGGAGCCCGACGCAGGGCTTGATCCCACTACCCTGGGATCATGACCTGAGCCGAAGGCAGACACTTAACGATTGAGCCACCCAGGTGCTAGACTGCGTACTTCTGAAGGGCTGAGCCTCATGGCAATCATTTTCATACCTACTATTTCAAGTATGTGCTCAGTGTTTGTCCAACCGTTACTGAACTAGAATTACTGCTTACCTCTACTGTTTTCTTAACTCTTAAATATTACAGATGGGGGCGCCTGGGTGGCTCAGTTGGGCGACTGCCTTCAGCTCAGGTCATGGTCCTCGAGTCCCGGGATCAGCGGGGTTCTGCTTCTCCCTCTGACCCTCCTCCCTCTCATGCTGTCTCTCATTCTGTCTCTCAAATAAATAAATAAATAAAGTCTTTAAAAAAAACAATCTTATAGATGATAGATTTCTCAGGATCCCTGGGTAAATGAAATCTTTGTGAAAAGCTCTCTATTATCTATGATGTGCTAACAAATAAAAGTATCTCATTTACGCTAGAGATAGTGGGAACAGAACAAGTGTAAGAGAGAAAGCTCAATCTTTTATGCACATGTATCAAAGGGAAATAATGAAGTTAGCAAAACCCATGCTAGTGAACATTGTAAAAGAGAAGTAACAGAGGGGCGCCTGGGTGTCTCAGTCATTAAGCGTCTGCCTTCGGCTCAGACCATGATCCCAGGGTCCTGGGATCGAGCCCTGTGTCGGGCTCCCTGCTCAGCGGGAGGCCTGCTTCTCCCTCCCCCACTCCCCCGCTTGTGTTCCCTCTCTTGCTGTGTCTCTCTCTGTCAAATAAATAAGTAAAATCTTAAAAAAAAAAATAGCATAAAAAGTATATTGCATGTTAGTATCCTAAGTTAACTGAAATTTACTTATTATGCAAGTTACAATATTCTAGTTGTAAAATAACTAGTTGTTCTGAAAATGATCATATAAAAGGATAGGAAAAAATAAGCCAAGTAAAATGTATCAAAATAAATATTTATTCACATCTGAAGCTTTATGTACACCTTTAAAAGCAAATGTGCAGACGTGAGGAATTACAAAAATCAACCTAAAATCCTTTCTCCCAAAGTAAGTCTAAATGAACATTCAAGATCAGTGGTGCCACTACCATCAGAATAAAAAATGTGTCTGAATGAATACAAGCAATTATTTTAAATGTCACCCAGATATTCTTTACAGTTACAACTCTAAAAAGTACTAACTGGTCAAAAAATCCAGAACACTGTGTTTTCATCTTATTAGCAGCGGTATACAAATATATTTCCATCTTTTTGTCCAGCCAGCAAATGAGAATCTGTACCTGACCATTTAACAAAAGACCAATGCTGGTCAGAGACAGGTGGGAGGAGAGCAGTACAATGACCTAGAAGTAAGTCCCAAATGGCAATCGTTCCAGAAGTTAGTACTGCAACCGCAAAATGATCTTTCACGTCTCCTTCCAGGAACCTAATTATCAAGCAGAGAAGAAACCACTGAAATCACATATTGAAAGAATTTTTTTTTCGTTAAGCCAAAATCATGCTCCCCAAAGCAACCATAGGAACAAAAATACCTATAAATATGATGCCTATTATTTGCCACCCCAGGACTCTTCAAACTGGCCAAACTCAGTCCACCTCAGCATCTTTGCTCTTGCTCTGCCCTCTCTTTAGCAGATGCTAGCTTAGCATGCCTGGGATTTTGTCATCTTTCAGGCCTGTCACCTCTGTAGAAAGGTCAGACCCAATCTCCCGTCTACAGAAGTGTACACATGTACTCTGTTCCCCATCGCATTACCTGTTTTCTTTTCACTTGTGAGATTATCCTATTTCCATATTTGGTGGGTCTCTCTCCTACCAAATGTAAACATCACAAAGCAGAAACCTGGTTGTCTTTTTAAGACAGGGGCTCTGCAGTCAGCAGCCTGAGTTTGAATTCTAACAAAGCAAGAGCTGTGTGACCCTAAGCAAGTTCTTCAACTTCATCAGTGAAAAGGGCATATGATAGGAGTTGATATAAAAAGCTCAGCACAATACCTA